TGCGGGCACCCCCCCGGGGCCTTCGGTGGAGCTCCCTATGGGGCCACGAAACGCTGCCCTGGATGGGGGAACCGCATGCGGGCACCCCCACTGGGGCCTACGGTGGAGCTCCCTATGTGGCCACGAAACGCTGCCCTGGGTGGGGAAAGCGCATGCGGGCACCCCCACTGGGGCCTTAGGTGGAGCCCCCTATGTGGCCACGAAACGCTGCCCTGGGTGGGGGAAGCGCATGCGGGCACCCCCACTGGGGCCTACGGTGGAGCTCCTTAGGTGGCCACAAAACGCTGCCCTGGGTGGGGGAACCGCATGCGGGCACCCCCACTGGGGCCTTCGGTGGAGCTCCCTATGGGGCTACGAAACGCTGCCCTGGGTGGGGGAACCGCATGCGGGCAGGATGGGGGAGGATGCGGAGAGCAGAAGGAAGGAGGGGGAGGAAGGAGGAGGGGGGGTGGGGAGGAGGGGGGAGGAGGAGAGGAAGGAAGGAAGGAAGGAAGGAACGCGGGGCGCTGTCACCCCAAAACGAGGACCTAACACCACAGGATGGTTGGGAAAAAGTTGCCCCCGGCACTGGCCAAGGTCATGGCGGAGGAAGGGGCCCTTCGAGCTTCTGATCGCCAAAGTCTCCACGTCAGGGAACCTGGAGCCTCGCTGTGTACCCCGTTGTTCTGGAAGGCTCTCAACCCCCTCCTGCACAGGGTCTCGGAGGCGAAAGGCTGGGCGAGGAGGCGCCAGAGGTCCCTGAGGTCGCTCATCCCATGGGCCCACTGGCCCCAATGCGTGCTTCAAGCACGGCCTGGTGGAGTCTGGGGCTTGCCTTCGGTGTGGGGGCCCTGTGGGATCGCTGTGGCACAGAGCCTACGAGTGCCCAGCTTTGAGCGCGAAGCGCAGGGGTGGCGTCTCGGTATTCTTACAGAGGGCCCGCCGGGTCAAAGCGCTGGGCTTCGACGAAGGAGAGCGTTTCGCGCGAGACCTCTTCCCGAACCGGTCACCATCATGTGGCACAACAGGCCTGCGCTGGGCCTCCTGAGCGGGCTCCTTTTTACCGACGGCTCGGCCTTGTGGGCTGGCTGCCCGCACCTGGCCCGAGCTGGCTGGTCTGTCGTACAGGTTGACAACCTTGGCCGCGAGCAGGCGGCGGCCTACGGGCCTGTTCCAAGGCCGGCGGCACCCAGGCAGCAGGCCAGGCATGCTGAAGACACTGCCCTTGGTATGCTGACGCAAGTTGCCCTCCCCCCTTTCGCGCTGTACGTCGACTGTGCTGGGACCGTCGGCACGGCCCGACGGGAGGAGGGCGGAGGTGCTGAACCGTCCAACGCTCGAGCGCATCAGTAGAGCCAGTTTTGGGCCGCCTTCCAATGTTCTGACTTTGAAGTGCACAAGGCCCGCGCACACTGCACCCGTGAGCAGATGGAGGCGGGGAAGACCACGGAATGGGAACGTCGAGCCAACAGTGCAGCGGACGTGTTCGCGAAACGTGGGGCAGCGGCCCACGGCATAGATGGATCTTTATACGAAACGTGGCGCGGACTGTCAGAGTGCGTGCGAGAGGCTGCCGCTTGGGCGGCCGAGGCACACATAGAGGCAGGCGGCCGCGACCACGGCAGCCTCGCGGATGAGTCTGCGCTGGCACGCGAGGCCAAGCGGCCAGAGAGTGCCACGCCTGCGCTCGATGCTGCTCTTGGTCAGGAGCCGCCCGAGGATGGAGAGGGTCTGGGGGCGGAGTCGGGAATGGGGTCGGGGTGGGAGGAGCTCTCTCGTGCGAGCTTCCGCTGGCGGGCGCACCTGCCCCTGCCGTGCGCAGTCCAGGGGGCGAATCCTAAGTGCGTTTCCTCCCTGTTCTGCTGCCGCTGCGGGGCGGTCTGCTCCGAGGGGGGGGGGGGGGGCGGCGCCTGCCATCTTCGCGAGCTGCCCTGGTCACGCGGGGAAGGGCGCCCTAGACCAGCTTCGGAGGATTTCGAAGGGTGAGTTCCCCCACTACCGAGCGGGGGTCAGACACCTCAAGCTGGACCGCCCACACGGGGAGATGCCAGATGTTCGAGCCAGCCTAGCCAGCCAAGCGATGGAGGCCGACCCCTACGCAAGGCTCCCGCCCGCGCCCGTTCGGCGTGGGGCGGGGGCGGAGGGTCGGGACGTCGTCCTCCGAGCCTTCGGGCTGGAGGCTGCATATTCTGTTGCGGTGCGCGAGCTGGGTCGCCGAGAGATCAAGCGCAAGGCCGAAGCCCCCGAGGAGGATCCAAGTTCGGACGAGGGATCCCTCTTTGGGGGCTCGTTTTGTCGCACCGCCTTCAGGGCCAGCCCATACCATACCTACGCCTCCTCCTTCTCCTCCTCCTCCTCCTCCTCCTCCTCATCATCATCATCAGCAGCAGCATCATCATAAGCATCATCATCATCAGCATCATCATCATAATCATCAGCATCAATATCATCATCACGATCAGCATCGTCATCATCACCACCACCACCACCATCATCATCATCATCATCATCAGCATCAGCATCAGCATCATCATAAGCAACAGCATCAGCAGCAGCATCAGCATCAACATCAGCATCATAATCAGCATCAGCATCAGCATCAGCATCAGCAGTATCATCATCAGCAGCGTCACCATCATAATCATCAGCAGCATCATCATCATCAGCATCATCATCACCACCACCATCATCATCATCAGCATCATCACCATCATCATCATCATCATCAGCATCAGCATCATCATCAGCATCAGCATCAGCATCAGCATCGGCATCATCATCAGCATCAGCATCAGCATCAGCATCAACATCAACATCAGCATCATGATCATGATCATCATCATCATCATCATCATCATCATCAGCAGCAGCAGCATCATCATCATCATCCCCCTCCTCCTCCTCCTCCTCCTCCTCCTCGTCCTTCCCCTCCTCCTCCTCCTCCTCCTCCTCCCGCTTCCTTCGACACCAGTGCCCAGACACACCCAAGAGCGCACCCCGACCAGCACGCCGACGCGGACGCACGCGTGGTAGGGTAGGGGTAGGGGGGAGGACGCCCCCCCCTCTCTCCTCCTCCTCCTCCTCCTCCTCCTCCTCCTCCTCCTCCTGATCCTGATCCTCCTCCCTCCTCCCCTCCTCCTCCTCCTCCTCTCCTCCTCTCCCCCCCCTCCCTCCTCCTCCCCCTCCTGTTCTTCTTTCTCCTTTTCCTTCTCCTCCTCCTCCTCTTCCTCCTCTTCTCCTCCTCCCCTCCTCCTCCTCCTCCTCCTCCTCCTCCCCCTCCAACTCCTTCTGCTCCCCCTCCTCCTCCTCCTCCTCTTCCTCCTTCTCCTCCTCCTCCTCCTCGTCCTCCTCCACCTCGCTTCTCCCCCGTCGTCCTCCTCCTGGTCATCGCCCTCCTCCCGCTCCCCGCCCTCTGAAGGATTATGTCAACGGGGTTCCCCACTTAAGGATGCTGAGGGCTTCGCGGGATCAACGAAGCAAGATAATAACAACATGAGTGGAAGGGCTATCGAAAGAGTACGTGCGAAAGAAGCGGCAGACGAAGGCAAGGAGGGGGAGCATCAGGAAGGAAAACGACGGCTGTTCAGGAAGCACGTTCGTTCATCCCTGGAAGAGTGGGAGGGGCACGGAACCTGATACATAGCATTGTGTTCGAATACCCTCGTCGCTCAGGCGGGGCCTACCTGGAGGAGTGGAAGGGGCACGAAACCTGATAACTAACATGGTGTTCGAATAACCTCCTCGCTCAGGCGCGGCCTCCCTGGAGGAGTGGGAGGGGCACGAAACCTGATAAACAACTTCGAATACCCTCCTCGCTCAGGCGGGGCCTGCCTGGAGGAGTGGAAGGGATACGAAACCTGATAATTACTTGTTTTCGATGCCCTCCTCGCTCAGGCGGAGCCTCCCTGGAGGAGTGGGAGGGGCACAAAGCCTGATCCATAACACGGTTTTCGAATACCCTCCTCGCTCAGGAGGGGCCTCCCGTGAGGAGTGGGAGGGGCACGGCACCTGAGAAATAACATGGTGTTCGAATACTCTCCTCGCTCAGGCGGGGCCTCCCCGGAGGAGTGGGAGGGGCACGACACCTGACAAAACAACTTGGTCTTCGAATACCCTCCTCGCTCAGGCGGGGCCTGCCTGGAGGAGAAGGAGAGGCACGAAACCTGATAACTAACATGGTGTGTTCGAATAACCTCCTCGCTCAGGCGGGGCCTCCCTGGAGGAGTGGGAGGGGCACGAAACCTAGTAAATAGTGTGATATCCCGACACTGTCCGCGCTCTGGCGTGGCCTCCCTGGAGTGGTAGGTAGGGCATTGTAGCGTTGGTATGGTAGGTGTGGTATGGTATGGTAGGTATGGTATGATATCGTATGGTAATGGTAGGTATCGTACAGCATGGCATGATATGGTGAGTATGGTATGGTATGGTAGGGTTTGGTAGGTATGGTAGACATGGTAGGTCTGGTATGGCATGATATGGTAGGTATGGTATGGTAGGCGTGGTATGGTAGGTTTGGTATGGCAGGTAGGTGTGGCGTTGGTATGGTGCGTATTGGTAATTATGGTCTAGCAGGGAGGCGAGAGAAGGAGAAGGATAAAGGAGAAGAAACAGATGGCGACCCAGGAAAACAAGAACACACGTCGGGATGTGGGGGAACACCGGGAGCTGCCGAGACCGCCGCTCCCCGGACTTCTCCCGCGGCGCGCACCGACCAGGCTCCCGCGCTGGCGCCGCGGGCCTCCCGCGAGGCCCCCCAACGGAAGCCCAGACGAGGCACAGGCTGGCACCCTCCTCCTCCTCCTCCTCCTCCTCCTGCTCCTGCTGCTCCTCCTCCTCCTCCTCCTCCTCCTCCTCCTCCTCCTCCTCCTCCTCCTCCTCCTCCTCCTCCTCCCCCCTCCCCCGCCCCCGACGCCGAACACGACGGTGGCCGACGGCGGCGTCGGCCAGGACGGCGGCGTCGGCCAGGACGGCGGCGACGCCGCCCTGCCCACGGAGAGGGCGCGCGCGCGCGCCCGCCTCGCCTCGTCCACCGCCCGCACGAGGCGCTCGGAGGCGAGCCGCGGGCTCGCGGTGGTGACGTGCTGCGCCAGCGCGGACAGGTCGACGGTGTCCTCCGGGTGTGCATCCGCCGCGCCCAGGGCCAAAGCATTCTTTGGTCCCGGCTTCTCTCGTGTCTCACGCCGTCTCCCTTGGAGCGGCGCAGTCAGAGGGCACCTTCCATGTCCCTCCGCTCTTCGCTCCTGCGCGCGCGTGCTGGCCAGAGGGAAAGCCGTGCCATAACTGTCTTTGTTCAGGCCGTCTGACTAGCCGGCAAGGCCGGCGGAAGCTTTCCACAGAGCGCCTGCAAAGCAAGCTATCACATACATCCCAGGTTTGAGATGGTCTATTGTTGTATTGTGTGGACCCAAAAGTTGGACCTGGAAATTGGCACCAACACCAGCAAAGGGGGGTGCCTCCACATGGGGAAGATGATCCTAGATTTCGGTGCTGGTGGTAATATATTTCGGTCACCTTGGACGCCAGAATGTTACCACCATCGCCGAGATCGGGATCTTCTTCCCCCAGTGGAGGCACACCACCGATAGTGGTGTTGGTGTCAACCTCTAGGCCAGCGCAAAAGGGAGCCCGGCGACAAAAGCCGGCGGTGCACCAGATCTGGTGCGATAATGTGCGGGTTTGCAATGGAGGATTTGGGGCGCGCAGGACTTTCCAGTGCGCCAAGGTATTGCTACGACTGCGCGTGCAACGCGCGGGACTGTCCAGTGCGCAGAGGTACTGCTATGCTTGCGCGTGCAACGCATCAGTTGCAATACAATTCAATACAGTTTTCTGGCGCAGTACACTTGCAGTACAGATGCCCCAAATATATTGCACCACCCCCATCTCACCTGGACCCCCTTCTGAGCGACCAAACGATAGTGATGTGCACAAGCAGGTCGTTCAGGTTCGATCGATAAGGGTTGGGGCCCCCTTGCGTTGAAAGAATCCTTCAACGGCGAGGATCTGTTTCGTTTGGTCCAAACGAAACAGAATCCAGGACAGAGACAACATCGGCCCGGGACATCTCGGGAATCGCCGAGAGCCCGCGACTCCTAAGGATGTGCGGGGCTTCGCGGCCTCATCGGAGCTTCTCGGAACGCGCCGAGAGCGTTCCGGAACGCCGTGGAGCGGTGCATGCCTGTCCCGGCCCCGCCTAAGCGATGCCGCCGCCGCCGCCGCCGGCGACGTCGTCTGGAACGTCAGCCCGAGGCCGCTGCCGTCGCCGCGTCGCCGTCGAGTGGGAGAGGAGGAGGGACGAGGGGGGGGGGGGGGGGGGGGGGGAGGAGGAGGGAGGGGAGGAGGGAGGAGGGGGAGGAGGGAGGGAGGGAGTGAGGGGAGGAGGAGGGAGTGTGGGGAGGAGGAAGGAGGAGGGGGGCAGCAGGAGAGGACAATGTTCTTTCCTCTCCCCGCAGCGCTGCGACCCTCAGCATTCGCCCAACGTGGGGCGCAGGGCGCAACTGTGGGCGCCCAGGGCCACGCACGGGGCCCCGCACACGCGGCCAGCGAGCGAAGCGGCAAAAGGAACAAAAAAGACGGTGGGAGGAAGGAGGCGCTGAGACACGACACTGCCGTGCAGCAGGGGGCCATATGTGAACCCTACCCCTACCTCCCACGATTTCTGAGGGGGAGGGTGGGGTGCACTTCGTTCGGGAGCTCCCGAGCAAAGTGAATCCCACCCTCCCCCTCAGAAATCGTGGGGGGTAGGGGTAGGGTTCGCATCTGGCCCCCTATGCCGTGCAGCAGGGGGCAAGAAGGAGAGGGAGGACGACAAAGACGGGAAAGAGCGGTGAGGGAGGACCGGGAGGAGGAACGGGGGTGCAAGGACGAAAACGAGAGAGAACCAGCCTGGACCATCTTGCAGAGGTGCTCCGCAGCGTTCCCTCCTGGACCTCTCTGGAGCCTCCCAGAGCTTGGCAAACCTCTCATGGGACGCAGAAGGACACACTAGTACGAGATGTCCTCTTTGGAGGCGTGCGTCCGACAAAAACATTGAGAATACCCATCTTGCAATATATCGCTTCCCGAGCGGTGTGGCCAGAAACCGCCCGCCACGACGCATATACTATAAGACTTCTCGGTACACACGTCGTATGACGGGGTGGGGTGACGTCGATCCGACACCGTGACGTTTTTCGCAGCGTTGGCCCCCGAGGGTTTTGACCTCTCGCCCGGAGCCTGCCTGCTCATCCTAGGTCGTATTGTTGTGACGGCCCTGGCGGCATCGGCCCCCAAAGGCCGAACCTGGACAAACACCTTCCGTCGTGCCTGTTTCTCCAGAGGCTTCATAGATGGGGTCCGAGTAGATGGGGTCGGAGAAATAACACCGGCATTCACTGCGCAAGGTTCGGGTGTTCCTAGAAGTACCCCTGGCCCAAGGTGCCCCACAGCTTGTCGCTCCATTTGGAGCCCCTGGGGCCCCCTGGGCCTCGTGAGGGATGCTCTGGAGGTCGTGGGGGACCCCTTGGAAGTCCTGGCGGCACCCAGGGCCAGGGGCACTTCTAGCAACACCCCGAAAGGTGGCTTCGGACGATTCCACCAAAGGGACGCCGACCTGACGGGGGACTCGCACAGAGCAGCGGCGGCCGGTGCCTGGAGCAGGGGAGTTTGGGGGGCAGCTTCTGGGAACTCTCCGTAAGTACGGAGGGGGGGGGCGACCAACCCCACTACGAGGAGCCGCCGAGCCAGGCTGAGATAGATTTGGCCAGATTGAGCCCTGGACCCAGCGCGATCTGCCTGAATGGATTGGTCCCCGACGAAGCCTATGTCAAGGCCGCTGCTGAATCAGTATCTTGGCGGGGCGTCGCTCCGCCAGGGGGGATCAAGGCTCGAGGATCCAGATCGCCTGACTTCGCACATCGCGCCCCGCGAAGCGCGGCTACCTTCGCGTCCTCGAGCCCTGTCAGGGGTCCGAGAAGAAAGAGGGAACGGGGCGGATCCGCGCGGCGCGTCCTCGCGGCCGCGGAAGCCGCAGGGGCGGCTGAGCGACTCCCGGTGCGCCCGCAGCTCGGCGAACGCGTCCTCCAGCGCCTCGCCGCGGCGCGGACGCGCCCGGGCGGCCGTTGCGAAGGGAGGGCGCCGTTGGCTGGAGCTCAACGCGGAAGATTCTCTCGCCGTCGCCGTTCTCGGTCTCTGGGAGCCCGCGCCGGGCCGCGGGGCCGTCGACAGAAACGGATCGGGATGAGAAGCCGGCCTTGTGGGAACAAGGAAAGGCGGCACCAGCACCACCAGGGCGAGGAGACGCGAGGAGGCAAGGGGGGTCTCCCTGGTGGTTTTGTCCCCCCCTCTCGCTCGAGATATCCCCAGCCTCCAGCTCGGGGAGGCATCGTGGACCTCCTCGCTGGAGGTGGGCCCACTGGTGGCTTTGGTGTCGCTCCTCCTCCCTCCGACCCTGGGGAAAGGGTTGGGACTCTGAGGCCCCCGGTTTGAAAAGTTACCCTGCGCTGTACCCATCCAGTTTGCAACACCTGACTGTAGCAGTGGACCGCCTGACACAAGTAACGCAACTTGCTCTGAAAACCACATTGGGGGCCGCATTTCACAACATGACAAAACAATAACACACCAGTCCGCTGGCCCTCCCAAGAAGCAGCCCTTGAATGTGGCGACCATAAGCGTGCCGACAATTGCAGGCGGCAGCACCCCAAGGCGCGAGGTCTAGCCTCGGGCGTGCGCAGTCACGAACCTGACCTTTTCAAGGCTGTCCTGCCATCGCACCGCGCCCACTGAGCGGGGCGTCAGTTACTGGCGGTAGTTTGGGTTCGTCCAGGGCTTACTTCGTAACTACCTCGTGTCGCGTGCAGCCCGCAGTGTGCGGAATTCGAGTCTGCGAGGTGGTGACCTGGGATTGCCTCCAGGCTGCGCCCGCTGGGCGAGTCCCTCGGCATCCAATGGGGCCTCCCGCCCCTGACCCATGGGCTCTGGCCGCAGGCAGTGGCCCCGGGCTTCCAGCCCGACAGCCCTCACCGCCGGTCTCGCCAGAAGCCCCTGAGCCCTGGGCACTGAGAGCCCGTGGCCGACGCCGCGCCGCCAACACTTGAAGCCTTGAGCGCCGGGCCCCATGGCGTCCTCCATCGGCCCCCTGCCCCGAGAAGCCGCCAAGCCATAGGCGCTGACCTGGGGCGTGGCCCAGTCGGCGTAGCCTCGACCCGCAGCGTTGAGCCAAATCTCAGCCCCCCGTCCTTGGCCACGAATCCTATACCCCACGCTGCTAGGTCACTGCCTCCGCCCTCAGCGTTAAATCCGGACGCCCAAGGCCCTGAGCGCGCAGCCGCGTGCCTCATCGTGCTTCCGCCGCCCCACCCGAATCCCTATGCTGCCCTTGACCCATCGGCGCCGAGCTCTACGTCATGGGCTTGGGGTTCGATGGAAGTGCGCCGCGAGCTGGGTGGCCCCGCGCAGAGGCTGGCGGCTCCGGCCGAGGAGGCCCCCCCCCCACCCAGCGAAGACTCTTATCTTTCGAGGTGGGGGTGCAGCCACCTCGGAGCAAAAATCAAAGACTAGAGAAATACTACGCAAAAGCCTGATGCTGTTAATTGTTGTGGCGGTTTCCCCTCTGAACCAAAACTTCACGTTCGCGAGAAGCCGGATGCTTGTGAACAGATTAATGTTCGCAGAAATCCGAGTGCCCCAATAAAGACTCCAGGGCGCCGGAGCGCGCGAATCCCTCTTGCACGTTGCCCACAGGCTGTCGGGGAAAACAGAAAGACGCGCACAAGATATTGCCCGAAAGGGGCCCAACACGGCCCAAAAGGACCAAAGAGCACCCCAAAACGGCCCCGAGAGGGCGTCCAAGACGGGCCCAAAACAGCCCCAGGGAGGCCGCCAAGACGGCCAACAGAAAGCCGTCTAGACGGCGCAGGAGGCCCGCTAGACGGCCTGGAGTCGCCAAGGCTGCCCCAGAGATTTCTCAAGAACGGCGCGGTTTCATTCGTTCTCCTGGTAAAAACAAGAATTGGTAGGCGTAGGTCGGGAATGCAATGAGGACACGATGCTCCGCGGCATAAGCAACACCTCGCAACACGGCGCGATGGCACTGCAATCGCAGCCAGCAGTCGTACTGTCTATGCCTAACAAGCGCATGGCATGTTTTCGAGTTTACTTGCACTCGCCAAATCACGTGCACCCCGAGTCGCACATGTACTTGTACCATGCCCAGTGGGGAACGCACTGCAAAACTCCTCGCACCCTCCAAGATGCCATCTAGAATCGATCAAATCACCTTCAGCACCACGGAATAGACATTTCCCCCCGGGCGAATGAGCGGCCTTTACGAGGAGGGTGTCCAAAAGTTCATGTACGAATATACTACTGTTGTTGTTTCTCTCTTTGACAGCATGCCATCGGTAATAAAGGATCCCCCCGTAACCCCTGAGTCATTATTATCCATCGGATACTTGTAATTGATCAGCGGGCGGAGTGGCGAGGCCGAACTTGATTACCACCAGGGGTAGTACGAATCGTACATTCGATAATCTTAACATGATTCCCCTTTGTTATCACCATCGGCATCCTTTGTAATCATCACCCTCTCGTAGACCCCCATTCTGGCACATCCCTCACACGGTTCGTGGCCCCATGTGGTGCCCTTGTGCTATGCCTGATATATCTCGGTGAGCATTGGACTCCTCTCCCTCTCCTTCTTCCTCCCTCCGCGACCCAGCTGAACTTGCTTATCGCCGTAATTGATCATCACTCCCCAGGAGCAACCATGCGTACTCACTCCTACACGGAACTTGAATTTCTCTTGACATGTCCTCCTCATCCTCCTCCTTCTTTTCTTGATATTCCTATCCTTCTCTTCCTATGTTATGGGTTGTTGCTCTTCTCTGTTTCCTCCACCTTGTACTTCCCCTCCCTTCCTTCCTCCTTCCGCGCCCCAGTTGAACTTTTGTATCGCTGTCATTGTTTATCGACCCCCAAAAAGCACCAATGAGTACTCCCACACGACGAGTAGAAAACCATCGTAGACATCGAGTGGAAGTCCCACCCCATGCAGGGAAGGACCTCCGAGAACCAAGAGCGATGAAGATTCCTCAGGCTTCGTGCTCCTACAACCGTACACCTTACATGCCTACATGCGACTTGACGGGAACTGCGTTTCTTGCCCCCCCGGGGCCCCGGGAACATCTTTCATTCGGGGATGGACAGACCCCCCTTTAGCAAAACGTGGTTTAGTGAAAACGACCTGAGGCCCAAATCTGGCGGGCGCGAGCCTGAAACATGACGGCCACGGCGCCCTCTCGAGAACCGAAAACGGACAATCCACCAATCGACGTGTCACTGTTGCGGGTACTGTCCAGCCCCGAAGACGTTGCACGTATGCTTCCTCGGCTTGGCTTGCACCTGGACGTGTCGACCGACTGGGCGCACCGCCAGCTGCATGCCGAGCCTGCTCCGGCACACCCCGAGGAGACTCACGCTCTCGGGGGCCTCTCCGGCCGGCCGTGGTCGCCTCCTCCCGCTCCGTCCTGCCTCCCCGCTGTCTCTGTGCCTCACCCGCGCTGTGCAACAGCCCTGTCGGTGCTGGACCGCAGCTCGGGTCCGTGACGCCGCCGAGCAGAAGACAGGATTCACGGCTCGACCTGAACGATGGTGGTCCGTCTTCGTTCTGTTCTCGCTTCCCCCTCGTGCTGTCTTCGTCCCGCCCCTGCTGCAGCACAGAGCCGAAACGAAAACGGGCCACGAGAGCTCTCGGACACCGCTTGGGAATGAGCCCCGTCTGATTTCCGGACCGCCATCGCCGCTAGACGAGGAGGATGAGGATGAGGATGAGGAGGAGGAGGAGGAGGGGGAGGAGGGGGAGGAGGAGGAGGGGGAGGAGGAGCAGGAGGATGAGAAGGAGGGGGAGGAGGAGGAGGAGGAGGAGGAGAGGAGGAGGAGGAGGAGGAGGAGGAGGAGGAGGAGGAGGAGGATGCGGGAGGAGGGGAGGAGAAGGAGGAGGGAGGAAGGAGGATGAGGAGGAGGAGGAGGAGGAGGAGGAGGAGGAGGAGGAGGAGGAGGAGGAGGAGGAGGAGGAGGAGGAGGAGGAGGAGGAGGAGGAGGAGGAGGAGGAGGAGGAGGAGGAGGAGGAGGAGGAGGAGGGGGAGGAGGAGGGGGGGTAGGCGGAGCCACCGGCGGCGATGGGCGACGAGGGCGGCGGCGGCGGCGCGGGCCTGGCCGCTGCCCGGCGGGCCGGCAGCGAGCCCGGCCACGGGGCCGGCGTGCAGGGCCTCGAACACCTGCGGTGCGGGCGCGGAACGGAGCCGAAGGCTACCATGCTGGCACCCAGAGATCCCCCGCATTGAAAAAATCAAGACGGAGGATTTTCGCAAATTTCGGCCCCTGGGGGCCCTCGCCGGGCCTCGGGACCGTCAAAAAACGACTGACTGAGGATGAAGAACCGGTCCGTCCTGGGGAATGGGTCGAGACTTCCAGGGACCGCGCACTGAAAAAATCACGACGTCGGATCTCTGGGTAGGAGCTCGACCACAAGAAGCCTTCCACAAGAGACCCCACCCTGGAACCCCAGGACGTCCACCGATTTTTGGTGTGGGAGCGTCACGCCTTCCACCGCCAAGCCATCGAGACCCAAGAAGCCCAGGGCACCCTGGAGGCAAGCAGGGTTATTCTTGGCATGGGTCTCCGCTGTAGAACGCGAAGTCGTGCAGGGTAAGTGCACGAGGACAACTGCGGTGTTGACATTGGATGAAGAGTCCTTAGATAAGGAACGCACGGTCTGGAAGCTGGTGGAACACGAGTTGAAGCTTGGCCATGGACACCACCACCGAAGGAATCTTCCAGGGTCTGAAGCCCCCTGGGCACACTCCTTAATTAACGCCCCACCGCAATGATCACGTCGACACGAGTTGAAAGAATAATCAGCGCCTGCAGTCAGTGCCGAAAGTTCCCTACTGGAGACAAGGGGAGTGGGGGCGGACAGTGGGGTTCCTCGCCGTCGTCGTCGGCGTCCTCTGCAGCGTCGTTGGCGTCGTCGTCATCGTCAGCGTCGTCGGCAGCGCCGTCGGTCTCGTCGGCGTTGTCGGCTTCGTCGCCGTCGCCGTCGGCGACGTCGTCGCCGCCGTAGTGGGCGACGACGTCGGCGTCGACGCGTCGTGCAGCCATGAGGACGGAACACAAAAATGCAAGGCTCTCAGAGAGCGAAAAGTCTCACTCTCTCACTCACCCACTCACCCACTCACATCGCTGACAACCCCGTGCCAACCAACCCAACAAGCCTGTCTCCTCGAAGCCAGGCAAATGACATCAAGAAAACGACCATCGGTGATGTCGTGCAAACACAAAGCGAACAGCGTGCCACAAAGCGCCAAGTCGGGATGAATTACCCTACGCGTTCAGAGGCGAGGGATGCAAAGCCACCCTGCTTTCAAAAGATCACCCTCGAGGCTTGGGGTCGAATTCGGCTTTAGACGTCGAGCTGCCGCTGCCGTCGCCGTTGCGCAGCAAGAAACGAAAAGGAGGAGGGGAGCAGCAAAAGAAAAACGAGGGGAGCTCCACACGATCACGAACTGCCATGCTTGGGGACACAAAGCATCGAACACGCTACGCCAAGAAACGGGGCTTGCCCCGAAAGGATTCGAGAACCAGAAGGGGGGCGCATAATGATATACTAGTGCTATGCACCGTCACCCTCATTATCACCAACACCACCATCATCTTCCTGATCACCATCATTAGATAGTCAGCATCCTCTTCCTTATCCTTCTCCTCCTCCTCATCATCACCATCATCACCATCATCATCATCATCAGCATCATCAGCATCATCAATATCACAACCCTTCACCATCGAACACATCATAGTCAACGTCAACATCAACGGCATAGCCATCGTCGTCATCTTTCTCGCCATCAACCTAAGGATCAGAATCGTCGCCACCAACATCAACACCAACATCAACATTGTAATCAGCATCATCACGTTCACCACAATCATGGTAATGACGATGCTGATCATCGTCATCACCGTCATCAGCATCATCGATGCCACCACAAACATCATCGTCAACACCATCATCAGCAGCAGCCTCAACATGATCATCATCATCATCATTATCATCATCATCATCATCATCATCATCTCCATCGGCACAACCATCATCATCGTCATCACCACCTTCACCATGGCCATCAGCACCATGATCACCACCACCATTAACAATGTATGCATCATCAACAACATCGTCATAATCATCGTCATCGTTATCGTCATAGTCATCATCCCCACCATCCTCATCATCCGCATAATCTTCATCTTGTCTCTCCAAAGCCTGGAGATACGAGGCGTCATACGTGACGGCACTATCAACATCATCATCATCATCATCATCATCATCATCATCATCATCAGTATCGTCGCCACACCAAAATCACAAACATCATCCTCACCACCATCATGATTACCACCACCCTCAACATCAGCATCACCACCATAATCATCACTAACATCTTCAGGAGTAGTATCAACATCATCAACAACATCGACATCGCCACCGCCACCGCCACCGTCATCGTCATAGTCATCATCCCCATCATCCTCATAATCCTCATCACAGCTCTCCATAGACTAGAGATTCGGGGTGTCATACGTGTAGGCCTCCCGCGCCCATTCGAACAGTCGCCATCCAGAATGCTGGGCTGGCACGGTGGCGGGACTTGCCGCAGGCAGCTGGACATAGTATCGGTATGGCCACCGAGCACCGAGCAGATGTTATAAGATTTCTGAGCACGCGCGTGGCCCAGGGGAGGCCAACGCACACATAGTATAGACATGCTTGGGCGATGCCGTTCGAAGCTGGGCAGCAGCGCCTGCGAAGGCAGCGCTGCGCTGCAAGCGCCGCCGGAGGTCAGGAAAGGACGCTAGCATAAAGGGGGGGACGCATCGGCCTGGAATCGGCGATACGTCGCCGATAGATCGGCGACATGTCCCCGATCGTGAATCCGCTCGTTCCTGGGCGAGCTGGGGCCATCGGGCCCCTATCGGCGATCAGTGGGCGATCGGGGGTCGATGCATCACCCCTATGCCTACCCCGCCCATATCGTTGCCCAGGAGGATGAAGGGGCCCTGGGACGCACGAATACATAGAGACCCGCATCCCAGGATTCCCCCATACTCTCTCGCACTTCCTGGATTTTCGTCTCCCCCCCCACTTGCCATATTTTCCATGGTTTCCTGGGGATCGACGATCCATAGTGTCTGTGTGTTTCTTCCCCTCCTGAGAGGAGTTAGGCAGAACTTCCTCCGTGGCTCCAGCCGGCGCGGCGAGTGGCCGCGGCTGGAGGCGACCACCGCAGTACGACGAGGCCTGGCGGCACGCAGCAGCGGTTTCGTGCCCCCCCCCCCGGAGGGGCAACGATCTGGGGGGGGGTCTGGCACTCGGGGGTGGCCAAGAGGGGGGCGTCCAAGAGGGGGGGGGGGCGCAAACCATGGCCGGCGGCACGTGCGCGGCCCAGGGACGGGCCGGGGACGCAATGAAATAAGCAGAGGCGCCATGAAATCTGGGGAAATATCACGGCCCACGCCATGAGATCCACCTCCCCTAGTCATCACCCCCTTCTTTGTCGCCCCCGAGGCCAAGGGGGGTGATGCATCGACCTGGAATCGGCGATATATCGCCGATAGATCGGTGACGAACCTCCGACAGCGAAACCGCACCCTCCTGGGCGGGGTGGGCTATCAGACCTCTATCGGCCATCAGTGGGCGATCAGGGGTCGATGCATCATCCCCCCCCCCTATTATGCGTATTCCCCCCACCATCGTTGCCCCTGACCCCCTCCCTTTCCCCCCCCAAATCCTGACGTCCGATCGGAGGCAGGGGGGAGCGGGGAAACCTAATCGGTGGCGACATCTGAACCCAACCCCCATGAGACGAAGCCAAGACGTCTCTGAGATCCGGCGGGTCTGGAGGATGTATCGGGCGCAATGGCATTCGCAAAGCGTTCCCGCTCTGAGAGCGTTCCAGAACGCTCTGGAACGGATTGTTGACGCTTCGCGTATCCCCACCAGCCCATCCAGAAACGATGCTCAGGGGAGTTGAGGTGATCAGGGAAGTCGGGGAGCATGCAGAATAACAAAGGGCGGGGGAAGCTGTCACAGACCCCGAGAGGGGGAGGATGGAAGAGGAGTCGTCGTCGTCGTCGTCGTCGTCGGAGGAGGAGGAGGAGGAGGAGGGGGAAGAGGAGGAGGAGGAGGAGGAGGAGGAGGACGGAGAAGGAGGAAGAATCGGAGGAGGAGGAGGAGGAGGGGAAGGAGCTTCTTGGGGGTCTTTTGAGGGCCTCTTGGAGGGCTTTTTGGGCGCCTTGGGGCATCTTGGGCGCCTCTTGGGACCCTCTTGAGGCGCTCTGGGGAGCCTTCGGGGCGCTTTTGGGGCCATCTTGGAGGGAGTCGATCAAACAAGAGGGGGGGTTTAATTAGCGTCCCCCCTCGGAAGCCCCTAAAATCGCCTCTTGGACCCCTCTTGGAACGCTCTTGGAGTGCTCTTGGGCGCTCTTGGGGCCGTCTTGGGGCTCTTTTGGGGCTCTCTTGGGGCCCTCTTGGGCCATCTTGGAGCCATGTCCAGGCCTCGGATGGCCATCGGAAGCGAAAAGGCGAGAAAACAAAAATCATTGATTTTCCTTAGGTTTTGGGACGATTTTGGCCTCTTCGGGGCCTCCTTGGGGAGTTGTTTGGCCACTTGGAGTTATCTTGGGGCCGTCTTTGGGCTTCTTGGAACCATCTTAGGAGCCATCGTGAGCGATCTTGCGCTATCTTGAGCCATCTTGGAGCTCATCTTGGGTTCTCTGAGGCGCTCTTGGAGCCGTCTTGGGCCATCTTGGACGCTCTAACTACCCGCGGCCCCCCCCGTCCAGGTCCAGGGGAGGGGGTAGGGGGAGGGGTAAACCCCTCCCCAAGGGGGAAGAGGGAGGGGTGGAAGAGGATCTGCTCTAGACCACCTACGCCCAGAGGGCTGGTGGGATTTATCCTCGTCCTGGCCCCGTCCGACAACCATCGACTCTCCTGAATCGATGGCAGGCGGGACGAATGCCCCCCATCGAGTCCCACCAGCCCTCTGGGCGTAGGTGGTCTAGAGCAGATCCTCTTCCACCCCTCCCTCTTCCCCCTTGGGGAGGGGTTTACCCCTCCCCCTACCCCCTCCCCTGGACCTGGACGGGGGGGGCCGCGGGTAGTTAGAGCGTCCCAGATGGCCCAAGACGGCTCCAAGAGCGCCTCAGAGAACCCAAGATGAGCTCCAAGATGGCTCAAGATAGCGCAAGATCGCTCGAGATGGCTCCTAAGATGGTTCCAAGAAGCCCAAAGACGGCCCCAAGATAACTCCAAGTGGCCAAACAGCTCCCCAAGGAGGCCCCGAAGAGGCCAAAATCGTCCCAAAACCTAAGGAAAATCAATGATTTTTGCTTTCTCGCCTTTTCGCTTCCGATGGCCATCCGAGGCCTGGAGATGGCTCCAAGATGGCCCAAGAGGGCCCCAAGAGAGCCCCAAAAGAGC